ATTCTTAAGGACTGGTTAATCAGCTGACTGTTTCTGAAAAACAAGATACTTGAATAAGCAAAAGGAAAGATCAAAGACCCTGTACCAAAGTAAAGGACAACCTATATAAAAAAAAAAAAAAAAAAAAAAAAAAAAAAAAAAAAAAAAAGAGAGAGAGATCAGTTCTCTCTGCCCTTTTGCCAGAAAACAGGACAGGCTGGTTCACTTCACCAAAGAACTAGTCAGGATGACTGCCTACTTTGAAGAAAAAAAAAAAGTCTCACTCTTTCTGATCCAACATACCATGGGCTATGAATACTGTCTCACAAGTAGGATACAATTTGTATTCATAAGAAAATAAACTTTTCAAAACAATGTGTGATCAGCAATCATTCATTTTGAATATAAAAACCAACTATGTTATTGGCCTGGAGAGAAGAACCCAGTGTGGAAAGTGCCTGAAACCCATACCACAGGCTGACCTAAGCTTTATGAGTTAATTAAGTAGATTGAACTATTTGAAGGCTGTGCTGACATGAAGTTAGAAGTCATTGTAACTGAAGATGACACATTATATATATAAACAGCCAATATGAATTGAATATTGTGAAACCCAAGGTCACAAAAAACTCTCCATGCAACCACATATGTTAGCTCTATCACCAATACTGAGCACTTTCCACTAATATATGAGAGATAGAGAGAGTAGAAGTAGATATATTGTCAATACCAGTTAACCTGAAGTTATGAGAATTAGCTAGTTCAGACTGATGCAATGCCAGCAGAAAATTTGCTAAACTTAAATACATCCTTGCTGGTTGCAAGCCTTCTCTTGCAACATTGAGACACAACCAGATGTTGAAGGATCTGGCAGAGGGACAGTATAGCAAAACTACCAATAAAGTTCCAGCTATCAAAATGATGGTCAATTTTGTAGAAGAATGTGGTAGAGGAAGTCAATCCGGGAAGAAATGTAAACCACCACAGTTTGATAGTGTATATGGACTGGTCTGTTACAGTAGATTAAGAATACAGTCTCAATTTTCCAGCTGAGATACCATTAACTACACAACTTCCTGACATCAGTCAAATTCAAAAAAGATAATAGCAGTAAATGAACTTTGCTTATTCAGAAAAACTGACTGGACACATGGATGAAAACTGGATAAATACAATGGACAATATATAAGACACAGATGAAAAGCCAGCATATTTCCAGATGAGATTATATATTATGTCACTAATTCAGCGTCAATATATCTATCTAGACTCCAGTTGTCATGAGCAGAAAAGAGAGACTATAAATTAAATATTAGGGCAGAAGTGATTATGTTTTGAAATTTGTCTTATAGAAGTCAATTGTGTTGTTTTCTTAGCTATTTTAGAAAATTTGATTGATTGTTTTTTATGGCTTATTAACCATTTGTGGGTTGTTTAAAGTCAAAACAGTTTGAATTGTTTTTTTTTTTTGTTTTTTTTTCATTTTTTTTTTTTTTAAGAATAACAATGATTTTTCAAATTAGAATTTCCTACAATTTTCTTACTATTTAACCCATAGCTGGAGAGAAAGGTAAGAAAAAGTTTAGTACTCCAGAAGAAGTTGAACACAGGACACTATTTATTTGCCATACTGACTAAACAAAAAATGGTGGCAGAGTTCATATGCCATTTGGTTGTCAGTTTATACACCAGACTAGCAATTACTGGTTTCTCCCTAGATTTAGATCACTATTTTTTATGTTGTTTAGTAGAAGCCATGACAGTTTTTAATCAAGCAACAAAATGGCTGCCAGTGTCTGAACCAGGAAAGGTGTGTCTTACAAGTCTTTTAGAAACTTGGAGGTATTATCTTCAGGTAGGAACAGCCAATTATTTTTATATATGTTGATTGTTATTTCTTTGTTGAATGTTTTTGTGACTGAAGAGGTGAGAGTGTCTGGATTCTTACCTTGTGTTTCTACCTGGTTAGGACATGTCAAATGTTTAGTATTCAGTCTGGGTATAAAACACAGAATGCCAAGTCATTTCCCCACAGTCACTAGACAAACAATGGTAGTGAACCAGATGGTTCAGTTCTATACATGAGACAAGCAAGCTACCTAGATCCCAGGGGTGTAGATGACATGCTCTCATAGCTGGCGGACAAGACTACTTGCAAGTTAAATTTGTTAGGAGCAAGCTGGTCACTAAAATATTTACAGTAGGAGATGGTACATGTGGACCATCATGGTTCAGTGAGGGTCTTCTTTGTAACTTAGAAGGATCTTCCTTGGAGTAAGATTAGCAGGTTTAACAGTCAGAGGCTCAACCTGGGTCATGGGTAAATGCAATCATATCTCAAGTAAAATGCATGGTACAATGATTGTTAAAGGCTTTTAAGATATTTATTTTTTTTAAATCAATTCACCCCAAGCAAAGTGATAATGCCATTAAGACATAAGGGGCTACAGGAGTAAAAGAAATAATAAAAAAATAAAAATAATAAAAGTAATAGAAGCCAAAGGATAGAAAAACATCTACTTCCATTGCTTTTTTTTTTTTTTTAATGCTAACAAATGGGTAATACAGTGTGACCCGGATATAAGAGACCCAGATATGAGAGAGATTTTCTCTGGTCCCAAATTAGAGCCTGTGTTAATGTATATAAAATAGACCAAACCCGGATATAAGAGAAACCCGGATATAAGAGACTTCTTCTCCAGTCCCTACAACTCTCTTATATCCGGGTTACACTGTAATTTTTTTTCAATAAAGCTAAAAGAGGAGGAGAAAGAGGAGAAAGAGGAGAAAGAGGAGAAAGAGGAGAAAGAGGAGAAAGAGGAGAAAGAGGAGAAAGAGGAGAAAGAGGAGAAAGAGGAGAAAGAGGAGAAAGAGGAGAAAGAGGAGAAAGAGAAAGAGGAGGAGGAGGAGAAAAGAAAGAGGAGGAGGGGAAAGAGAAAGAGGAGGAGGAGGGGAAAGAGAAAGAGGAGGAGGAGGGGAAAGAGGAGGAGGAGGAGGAGGGGAAAGAGGAGGAGGAGGAGGGGAAGGAGGAGGAGGAGGAGGAGAAAGAGGAGGAGGAGGGGAGGAGAAGAGGAAAAATTAAACAAAATAAACTTGATTTGTTCCTGAAGTATTCAATGAAGAAATACTATGAAAAGTAGAAAATTTATTTATAATGAAAAATTGTCCAGAAATTGGTATTAAAAAAAATTCTTACCTAGACAATAAGAAAAGATATTATACTCTTACAGTGAACAGTTGAAAAATGGAATGTCTTTCTCTATAAACAGAAATGAGAATACAGAGGAACAAAGAAATTTTTCAATTAAAAACTTCTCCAGCTCCCAGTAACTGAGTATGCCAAATATGAGAGATATAAATTTAGTTTCTTCCCAATTATAGCTTGTCTACAGAACTCCAGAGTTGAGGTGCTGAAGTCAACATCTACCAGCTAAGTGACTATATATATATATATATATATATATATATATATATATATATGAATACAAATATAAAATTTGTCATTTAGCTGATTGATGTTATACTCAGCACTTCAACTCCAGAGTTTCGCAGACTAACCTTTTTGTAGTGGTTCAGTCCACTTCTTGTGTGTGTGTACACAAAAATGAAAATAACACTGATACCTAATTTTAAAATATATTTACCAAAATTACACAAAAATATCTTGAAATACTAAAGAATAAATTCATTCAATAAAAATCACTATGGTCTCAACCATGGCCTCCAGACAACTTCAGAATCTCCAACTCTTCTGGGTGATTCCCTTGTTTAAGTTGGTAAATGCTGCCATAATTCTTGCCTTCAGTTCATCTTTGGTCTTACAAGGAGTTTTGTTGGTCTCTTACTCAGCTGTGTCCCACACATAATGACCAAGGGGGTTGCAGTCTGGGGAGTTAGGTGACCAGATGTAAAGGGTGATATGGATGCAGAAATTGTCTGACAGTCATGACTGGATCTTCCTGCTAGTGTGGCAAGGTGCATAGTCCTGTTGCCAGATATAGGCTCTTCCAGCAGCCAACCTCTTGATCCAAGGCAGCACTACCTCTTCAAAGCACTTGATGTAGGCTACTGTGTTGAGTGTGAGCACTCACTAACAAATTTAGGAGTTCTTTTCTTATCAAAATGATCAGAGCGAGTTATCCAAGCTGCTGTATCTTCATAATCACCATTAGACTAATCCAGTTCTTTCTGAATTCTCTGCGCTGTCCTCAGATTGACATCCAAACACACTGAAATGTTTATATTGGAGCTTCTGGTGTGAATGCCAAGCAACACAGTTTCCAAATTTCTGTCAGAGTGAATTGCATCATGGAGCTCTTTTTCTTACAGATGGTGCTTAACTGACCATACTATACTGTACAGTTGACAAAAATCAAAAACAAACACACATGCACAAAATGAAAAATATAAAATGGCGACAATTTACCCATCGAACTTATATATTTTAGATAGAGGTAGTATTCCATTGGTATAATCCAGGTGAGTCCTATTAACACAATATAGAATTTGGAATATGTAAAAATTGGCTCACAAAAGAGCACTCCATGTTTAATTTCATTAAACAGCAAATTTTCTTTACAATTGGAATTAAGATAACTTTAGTAACCCATATTATATATATATATATATATATATAGCTCAAAAGCATCAAAACAGCCTTATCAGTGATAAAATTTTTCAACCTTTGACCACAGACAAAATTTTCCAAGCCTCTCATTACTATCACTATTTCTATGGTAAATGTTCTGACGAGCTCCATTCCTTAGTTCCATGAACTCTAATCCTCACAACTAGAACCTGCCATACCATGTACTCTGAAGTGAATCACCCTCATTCCATTTGTATTCCATTAGTAAGAAGGAAATTCCAGTCAACTTCTTCTCATGAACCACTATTTTGTAGAACTGACTCCCAAGAGGATGCTTTCACAACTACTACAATCTTAACCTCTTCAAGCCTAAAGTTATCAGTTATCTTTCCCTACATATCTTTATAAATCCGAATCTTACTTCTTAGCTTATGGCAACATCATGCTGAAACACTGGTTCTCATACAATCACCAAAGTTAAGCATTATTGAGCTTGGTCAGTACGTAAATGGGTGACTACATGAGAATACCAGGTACTGTAATCACACAACCACCTGCACACCACTCCCTGCCCCCATTCTTATAATCTAAAAATATTTTCTGGCTTTAAATAACCTGCAAAATGTTAATAAACCATAGAAAATGGATCAATCAATCTTACCTCTTACTACACAAACAAAAATCTCCTTCAGTAACCCTCTACCATGAGTAGCTTGTAAACATTAGCATGAAAAAACAAAACAAAAAAACCCACACAAAATTATATAAAAATCTAGGGTTTTACTCTTCTAGCAGACCACACACACACAAAGCTCTATATCCTGTTATCTATTATCCTACTACTCAGAAACATAGATATGTAGATGTAAGTTTGTGTTTTGAAAGGGAGTATCAGTTTTTGGTTAAAGACTAAACATACAAATTGTTCTTCACTTTTCTTTTTAGTAATTTAATTTTTTTTTTTTTTTTTTAAATAAAAAATCTTAAATAGATACATGAAAAATATTTTGAGTAAATAAAAAACATTTAAAAATAAAAAAAATCTTAAAATAAAAATCTCAAAAACATCTAAAAACAATTAAAAATAACAAAATCTAAAATAAAAGAAGTTCTATATATTTCCGTGTTTAACATGACCTCTAGATAAGATGAGGTAAAGAAAACATAGCAAATTTTCATGAATTTATTCTATACCTGTAGTATAAGACAGCTGCTTAGTCATTATATAAAGATGATGTTATTGGAAATATTGTTACTGTATCCTTAGAAATTCAAAATAAAGGCAAAACTGATTCTATATCAAATTTTTTCCTACACACGTACCCAAAAAGAGAAACCATTTTGTTTACAGTTCATCACGTGATCTTTTGCAGATATTGATTCTACATCTTTCGCTTCTTTTCCTATATCTAAACAGGTACAAACAGACTGGTGTGCTAATGGCCATTTACTTATACTTCATCAACAATCACAAAATACTGCTAATAACAGTACAATAATAGTACATTCCTTTGCTGTGAATGCAATCATAATTACATGTTTACATTTCCTCAGCTGAGCTTGCATGGATACAAGTTTATTTCATTGATATGGAATTACTCTTTGAATAGACAATTTATTATGAAGTTATTACCAGTAATACATAAGGTAGAAATGGTTTTATTACTTTTATTATCAGTTTATTTGATAATGTGAATCTTTTCATGTACATTATTGGTTATCACACCAAGGCAGACATTAGCCTACCAACAAACATCACTCAGAATTTTAAATTTTTTTTTTATAGAATTTTAGTACAAGATGACCCCCAATTTTTAAGGATGATTTTTGGGATTTAAAGGTCATCTTATATGCGGAAATATATGATATAAAAGAAAAAGTGATTTAAAATTTAAAAATATCTGAAATAAAAAGATATATTTTTAAAACTATATTGAAGTTTTAGATTAAAACAATATTGAAGACACCTGCAGAAAATAAATATCATGATTCAATTTTATTATAATTACCTCATTTCTGTTTTTGGGTGTGTTCATTCACTACTATAACACGGCAGAAACAGTGCATCATAGCATAATCTTTGTGATTAAACTAATTTAACTTTAAAAATAAACCTATTTACAACTTAGAAGTGTAGGGTTCACATTCACTCTCACAATGGCCATATTTTTTTTTTCCTTTTTTACATTATATATAAATAAGAAAAAAAAAAAAAAAAAACAACATTAAAAAAGGAAAAAAAAAATTACACTTTATATATCACACACACACACACACATATATACAATCTATGTATTTATATATATTTTTACAAAAACAATTTTAGGGTAACATTATTCTATAAAAAAAAAAAAAAAAAATTAGTCAGTTGCTAAAAAAGTTGATTCAGTGTGTCATGCTAGACAATTTTTCTCTCCAAAATCTATCTTACCATTCACCCATTATAGAATATTGCTGCCACATATGGTCCGGTGCACTTGCGATATATGTAGAGATCCTTGATAATATCCAAAGAAGAATCAGCAATATTATTAATTATGACCTGGCACTTCAGCTTCAGTCACTTTCCCACCACTATAAAGTTACTTCCTTGTGACTTTTCTATAAATACTTTCATGGCAACTATTCGGATGCCCTATTTGCTATGGTACCTAGACTTTATGAATTCGAATGCAGTAATAGACTGGTGATAAGATCTCATCAATTTACAGTTGAGTTGGCTGAATGTAATCAGAAATTCTAAGGTTCTTTTCTTGCACCTTCCAGCTCCATGCTTTCCAGTCAACTTTGATCTTTAAAAAGTTAAAAGCAATGTCAATCACTATCTGTTGTCTTCCTGATTGCTATCCTTTTGTTTCTGCTCCTTAGTAATGTTTTTGTTTTCTAATTCTTCCACACCCAGTAACCCCTTGTGCCTTAGTGGCTTTACTGCCTTGCTTGGGATGAATTAAAAAAAAAAAAAAAAAAAATTCATATTTTCTACACTTTATCACAAAATACACCTTTTCTAATTTGTAGATATGTTCAAAAAGCACTTAACATGAGACTGAAACTTCTTAGGTATTAGTAGTATAAATAAAGCTAATTATAGTTTGGTTGATTACAGACTAGTCTTCTCTTAATTGCAAATAATTATAATACAAATTCTATAAATATGAAGTGACTTGATATGAAGCTTAAATGCCTCTGAAGACAGCTTTTTTTAAGTAAAAAAAAAAAAAAATTAAATTGTAGATTTTTATAATAGATAAAAAACACCCCCCAAACGAACTTTTACCTAATTTTTCATGCAGCCATATACAAATTTTGAGGAAACATTAAAAAGTTTGTTTTGTTTTTTTTCATTATATCATGAACACTACAAATGACAAAAATTCAAAAATATTTTTCACATTGTAAAATATAATACCAAAGAAAATTTAAATAAATCAACAGACAAAGAAAGATCTGATGATTTGTACAACTATCTTTTGAGCTAAACTTATTTTGCTGACTTTCTCAGAGTTGTATGGTGAATTTAAATCAAGCTGTGAAATTCATCATGACCTATTAAAAAACAAATTTCTCTCTACTAATCTGAAATTTATTAATTTAAAAATAAAACCTGTAAAGACTGACAGTAATTCTTCTCACAGTAAGTACCATTTACAGATATAATTTAGAATCAAACTAAAAGGTGTTCCATCCAGTGTTGCTCAAATCTTAATAAAACTAGGAGAAATTTCTTCACATCAAAAATCTTATTTTTAGTGGTCAATTTAACACTTGTAAAATTTCTAAGTCCATAGTATGAACACCTGACTATTATGACTAATATCACTATTATTAATATGCAAATTTAATCTGGCCTGATGACCTTGTGACTACAAGTTTATCTGAAGCTACTGGTAATAGTTTGAGTGATATCACAAACAGAGAGAAACACTTACCAACCCAACTCTTTTCCCTGAAATGTCATTTATTTCTACCTTCCCCACCTGTTCAGGGTGGTAAGAAAAAGAAAAGGAAATTGTGTGTTTGTGTAAACTAAATTGCAATCTATTTACTGGTCTAGCAAGATAGACAAATTGGCAACAAAAATATCCAGGATAGGTGCATGTGTTTGTGCTAAGAAATTGAACTGACTGCATTGACATGTATCCAGAAAATAGACATATACACAATATTAGTGATGGTGGGAGCGAAAATTCAAGAGGAAAATATGCAGTCTGTAAAAAAGCTAGAGAGAGTGAGTCAGAAAAAGTAAAAGGATTTGTTGAGATATTTAATTGGGCCAAAGAAAGAAAAATAATGATCCATATCTGATCTGATTTCTCTTGTTTATAAAAATAATTATTATAAAAATGATTTCTTGTTTGCAACACAGCAAAAGCAATGTGCACTCATCATTGCAAAATGTGCTACCTTTGAGAATAAAGCAAATTTCCAAATTGAACCATCAGTATCTGGATTAATTTTTAATTACATATAAAACTAACATTGAAAGAAGGTTGTGGGAGGGGATCTATTCAAGGGAAATAAATCAGGATATGTTAACTCATTTCTCATAGGTTTGCTCTAGAGAAGGGGAGAGGGGAAGTGTGGAGAATAAAAGCAAGGGAAAGCGGAGAAGATGTAATGGTTAAAGAGGAAAAATACAGGGAGAAGATGATATCAAAAGAAAGAAGAATTACATTGCAGAGGTCTCTAAGAAAGAATTGATAAACAATAGTTCTTTAAAAACAAATAAAATCACATGTGTGTGTGTATATATATATATATATATATATATATATATATATATATATAAAAAGGGTGTTCCAATAACTTGGACCAATTTTAAATGTGAATTAAGTTTAAGCGTCTAATGATATTTTTTTTCTTTTTCTTTCAGATTTATCAACTTAAGTCTTTGGCAATTTCAACCATGGAAAGATTAACAATCAAACAATGTGTTAAAGTTATCGAGGTCTAATATGAAAATGGACATACAAACAGAAATGCATTTGGCGCACTTCGCAATTTTTGGGGTCAACATAATCAACCAACTGAGAGTGCAATTGGAAACAATGTAACATTGTCGCGGAGAGGTTCAATCCCTGTGTACGATTTTCGTCCAAATTTTCGTGCACTGCAGCAATGTTTTCAGCTGAACAGCGTAAACGAGCATGCAATGGTGTTTTCACATCTGCCACCGACCCAGTTTGTTTGAATTTACGAACATTTTTTTCAATTGCACACTTGAAACTGACATCCATATTATATATATATATATATATATATATATATAGCATCAGAAAAAGACAGTTGAAATTTTTAGGGCACATAATGAGAAGCATATTAAATGAAGGAGAGAGAGAGAGAGAAAAGCAGCCTATAACCTATCTACAAAGCTTGTGTAAATAGCTGGCAGAATAAGGATTAGGAGAGATATCAAAAAAAATTTAATAATGGCTACAAAGGACAGGAAATTGTGGAGAGCCATGATCGCCCATGTCCTGAAGGGGATATGACACAGAATATATTATTGAAATAGCAAAACATGTACAAAACATTAATTTGCACATGTTACTTTAACCTATATCCTCCTGGCATCAGTTTAAGCTGATGACAGGAGGATATAGGTCATTATATTGTGAAAATTATTCAGCAAATTCAAACCCAGATCTTAATAGTGTAAAAATATTTTAAATAATTATAAGAATGAACTGATAGTTTAATGCAGGAATATATATATATATATATATATATATATATATATATATATATATGTGAAATGCATTTGTAACTACTGTTGGTATTTCTTTTTACTTTGTTTTTTTGCTGTATTAGGATTGTCTCCAATGCATTTCATCATGCCAACAGGCTGTATATTTATCATGACAATGGCAAACTGTCCCAAGATGTTTACAAAACCAAAGAAAATGTTAGCTATGTAAAAAGCAGAATATAACAAAAATAAGTAGAGAAATAAAGACTCATATGAACACCTGATAATAAGGACTTAAAATATGCAGACATTTTTGATAACATGGGTAAACTTGTTTTATATGAGAAACAAGCTGATTGCACCTGTTAAATAAAATAACCAATAAAACAGTGGCAAACACGCATTGGTACAGATGCATGTCTAGATACGGGCATCTCTGCAACTTTTTCCAATCCAGGTCTTTGTCAGCTGTCTCATGCCAATAAATGGTTTGGGTTTTACAGCATATCAACCTCAATAGGTTATTTAATGGCAACCAAATTTTTTTCATTGCTGGTAATACTTTTTTTTTCTTAAAAAAAAAAAAAAAAAATGTACAAAAACATATAGCTGTTTACATTGCTGGTAATTTTTTTTTTTTTTTTTGGGATCCTGGAACACCAGAGCAAGTAAGCGGTGGTCCCACACTCCTCAAAACCTCCTGGTCAGAGGCCTTGCTGTTGGATGTCGTTTATCATCTTATCCAGGATGCAGATATAATTTATTGCAGAATATAACAAAAATAAGTAGAGAAATAGATTTAAAGACTCAGATGAACACCTGATGATAATAAGGACTTAAAATATGCAGACATTTTTGATAACATGGGTAAACTTGTTTTATATGAGAAACAAGCTGATTGCACCTGTTAAATAAAATAATCAGGACAGTATGGCAATGAAAGAGACAGAAAAACCCACAGTTGGCAAGACTGTCTTGTGAAGTTGTTCCTTAGGCATTTTGTTCCTAAAGTTGCATGTAGCCTGCCTTGCTGTGGTTTCTGAGTCAGTGTTTCCTCCCGTCTTTCTCTTCTCTACCTGTTATCCTTGGGAGAATAACCAGCCAGGTATTTCCCCCAACCTCAATGCACCATTGCCATATTTTACAACAGAAACAGAGTAGGCAAAATTAAAAACAATGTAACAGCTGATGGTGATGCTTAAAGAGGACTTTGTGTGAGATTCATAAATGAGTACTTTGAAGGAGACTAAGGTGCCATTCATTGCCTACTAAGAGTTTCATTAATATGAAATTGCTGGGTAATTTCTAAACAGTGAGCCTGAAGATGTAAAAAAAAAAAAAAAAAAAAAAAAAAAAAAAAAAAATTTTTTTTTTTTCCAACAATATTTTCCCTTGTCGAAATTCAGTGAATATTAATCATAGATCAAAACTTATAGTGAAAATTTCAGATCAAAATTAAAAACATGAAGCCAGACTGTAATTTAACTGTTTCACTCATATATATATATATATATATATATATATATATATATATATATAAAAAAAAAAAAAACTTAGATATGTTTTGTTCTCATCAAAGGACAAATGCATTGGCTAAGAGAGGTTTTCCTTGTCTTTATTCATATTCTCCTTTTACAGATTATATTTTAGTTATATCTGAATTTTTTTTATATCTGTAAAAGGACAATATGAAAACTCTTAGCCAACGCATTTCATCCTTTGATGAGGATAAAACGTCTGCTAAAATAAGTTTTCTTTATATATATATATATATATATATATATATATATATATATATATATATATATAAAAAATAAATGAGAGAGTGATCAAAAACATCAATCCAATTGGATTGGTTACTAATTCTATTCTAAGTTGCTGGAAATTTATAGAATATTTAACACTTTGTAGCTTAAGTTAGAGTAGCTCTTTAATTATTCCCCCCCCCCCCACACACCTCTCTTTCTCTGGCAACTTGTTTTTGTTTTTAAGATTTCATTATATAGTAGATAAATATATTACATAGAAAAAGCAGTAAAAAACATTTTTTAAAAAAAGTAAAATTATGTAACATATTTTAAACTAGATATGATATCTATTAATTTAAATGCTTTATCTCAGACTTGAAGAGCAAATCTATTTGTGCAAAACTCAAAGTCAGGAGATAAATCTTTGAACTTTATATTTATTTATACTATTAATGTAATATTTTTTAATATTGAGGACTTTATTTACAAAATGTTCTCACCTTAAAAGGGTTATCCACCAGTAATTTATTGATCAACAGGTTTTCCCTCACCTTTCCTTTGCCTTTTTTAAGGTACACACAAACACATTATATATATATATATATATATATACACACACACACACACACACAACTTTAGGTTTTTCAGATGTTTGAACATTTTTAAATTAAAACAAGTACTCACTACTATAATTGGCCTCTGCAAATGTCTGTGCTAATCCAAAAAACAGCAAAACTGAAAAAAAAAAATGAAAAAATATTAAGGGTAACCAAATTAAATGGCCTGTTCATCATTTATGCAAGTAAAAACTGATTATCATATTTTGTTATACAAGTGATCTACAGTTGTCAGGGTGCATTGTGAATTTGTGAAATTTTAAACACCAAGAGAATGGATTTTTTATTTGGACAAAACTTTAAAAAAAAAAAAAAAAAAATACAGTTATGATAAAAATAAAGTATATATCACACAGAGAGTTATAAATATGCAAATTCATTATTTGGATTATTGTTGTCATCACATTTCAGCCATTGTGCCCTCTGGCCTTCATCAGGTGTATATCAATCTGGATCAAGGGCCACAATGGCCAAAACTGTGATAATAAAGATGAGGACAAGTGTAAATAATAAACTCCTCATCACAGGAATTCAAGCAGAAACACAATTTCAAGTTTAACATATAATTTGAACACATTTACTCTCCTCTTCCAATCAATATTTTCCAACACAGGAAGGATTTAAAAATCTCTTTAAAAACCACACCTATATTTTTTTCCCAATTCACTATGTATGTTTAAGTTCTAGCTTTATATATAATAATGAACCTGAATTGTAAAGTTGAACTATTAAATATAACATAAAACCAGATTAATACTATGGCTGTAATAGCAACAGTTCAGTGTTAAAATTATTTACAAAAAGGCATTGTATAGGATAATCTTTATAAACGAAAAACAGACTTGCATATTTGGCTCAAGTACAAGAGAAAAAGGTTAATTATATCATAAACATAGGTTTGTCAACAAAATAACTAAAGAGAAGAAAGACTAATTTTAAGCTTGTGCAAATTGACTTAAATACTTGTAAAACCCTTAAATATGTGTGCATGAGAAAGAGAGTTGAAAATTTGCTATATTTAGTAAAGAAATGTGCTTAATATCAGAAATAAGCATCAATATTGCATGGTGACTGTCAGTTTCATGCCCCAAGCGATCTTCAGATTGTGTATGTGGGGGACAGGGTAGAATGTTAATATTCCAACTATTGATCTGGGTTTACCTTTCAATCTGGAGAGATGATCCCAGTATGTAACAGCATCAAGAATTGTCTGTAAACCATACTACAGGTTGACCCAAGCCCTTTGAGTGAAATTGGATAGACAAAACCATTCGGAAGTCATCCATGGTTGTGTCAGCATGAAGTCACAGGTCATTGCAACAAAACGTTTGCACACAGGTTTTGTTCAAATTGTTGAGCATGCCAGATTATGCATTATCTCTCAGAAAGCATAACAATGGTCTGTTCATCACAGCTGCAATATAAACTACAGGTTGGTTCCGAGGATGTTGAAGGAAATGTGTCTGCAACAGGGATTAGCTAATCATCATAGTGGACTTCATTGTTTCTTTACTACTACTAGATCATTGGGGAAAGTTTGCTTGCAATAAATAGCTAAACTGTTTCCTTAGAGCCCTCAAAGTTGGTATGCATGCTTATTGAACCCAAGTAGAAGTATTTACATTAAAAGAAAAAAAAAAATTCTTAACAAGAAAAAAAAAAAAAAAAAAAAAATATAATTTGGAACCTTTTGGCACAAACTATAATTTCTCTTATGTGTGGAAATAAACAAAAAAGATCTGTGCATTTTCAAAAATGCGTTTTTACAATAATTACAATAAATAGACACATATTCAACAAAACAAGTGACTTAAAAAAATAATACCACCCTACAATACCCACACTATACAGCTTACCCAAAACACACAAACCCAATATACCCATTGTGTCCAGCATCAACAGTGCTCCTCACAAACTAAAGCAATTACAAAAGTCCTAACTCCATTCTTAGGCACCATCAACCCAACACACATTAAAAACACTGTTTCTTAACCTATGGATTAGGTCACCAAACATTATATCTAGGTTATGGCCAACTTAGATATAAAATCATTACACAAATATACCAGTTACAAATTAAGAAATCAGCTCAAAAATTCCAAAGAAAAACTTCCTCTACCTGCACAAAATTATACAACTATGCAAACTAATCAATAATTTCTCTCAAAATACAATTTTCTTTTCATAGTATGTTAGTATATTTTTTTTTATTGCAAACTTACAAGAAACAAATTGATTCATCAAGTAATTCATCAAGTCTAGGAGAAACTTCAACAGAATGCAGAAAGCTCCTATCCGCAGTGCGCAACCACTACCAAGAATTGAAACCCGGACAGATACGTTATCAGGCAAACATCATACCAACTGTTCCAACGGGCCTCAGTGATGAAGAGGTTGGTATGACGTATCTGTCTGGGTTTCAATTCTTGGTAGTGGATGTGCCCTGCTGATGAGTTCCAAATATAGGACGAAACAGCCGTCCTCGACTTTCTGCATTCTGTTGAGGCTTCTTCTAGACTCAATGAATTACTTAATTATAATTCTCAAATCCTAATTTCTATCACACACACACACACACACACATATATATATATCTCCAAATATAATGAGAACGATAATATAAATTTAAACGTTCATAGCATTAATTTAAAAAGAGGGCTCAATACCAAAAGTAGAGCAATATTTATTTACTATAAGTTGTTACATACGAACAAACAAGTAATTACTAAGATTCATATTTGTTTCGATGCCTAATATAAACATCTCATCAGGTGGTGAACAAAGGTTATAAATGATTTTATTTAGAAATGCTACTTATGAAACATCACTTCTTTTTACATTATTTAAAATTTAGGAAGACATAAGAATTTCCATAAAAGGAAAAATATGCAAGTTAAAGCAGAAAGACAAGAATTCAATAAAAAGGCAAAAGAAATAGTTAAGAAAAGCATGAAAAACCTCCCTTCTCTGAAGAAAAAGAGAAAAATGAAGAGAAGTAATATATCAAAATTAACTAATGCAAAGAAAAGAAGAAAAGAAGAAAGGTGCAATAGAACTTGAATCCAACATGTGTAAAGTAAGCCTTCTTAATAATGTTGTGATTGTGAAACACACACATATATATGTGTTTATGTCAGAGATACAATCTCCCAAAGGACATTTAAATTGATATACAATGTTAGTCTTTTGCAAAACATTAGTTGACAGAGAAGAGTTATTGCAGAGAAGTTGGTTGTATTAAATTTAGTATAGTATATAATTAGTTTTATTGTTTTTATCAATTTTCCTAATTACATTGATGAACAAATTATACAAGCAATTAGAAATATTAACATAAACCAAAAAGAAACATAATACTTCCTCAAATAACCCTAAACATATCAACTGCAATCAAATACACTAACTACAAGCGATGAAAAAAAATCCTAAAAACTCATAAGTACTACTAATATATCCCCCACTGATCACAGTAAAAAATAAAATTAATATAATATACTTTAATACAACTGCAGCTCATTATCAATAGTAAGGAATCATTTTATTGTTCTTTTCATCAGCTGTGATTCCAGTCTTTACTGCTTATCCAATTTAGATGGGTACTTAAACTAGCAGAATATAATATGGGTCACATTTACAGTAACATTTAATCTACCTCCCACCCACTCATGTAACATTATCCTAAATAATTTTAAGAGAGAAATGTTGAAGAAAGCAAGTCATTCAAATTGTTCATGTTCTTTTTAAGTTGAGCTTTAAATGGGCAGCGATTACAATGCATCAATGACTATGAGCAATGAATGATGAATTTTTTTTTTTCACTAACAAAAAAAAAAAAAAAAAAAAAAAAAAAAAAAAAAGCAACAAACAAACATGGATCAGTACCTAGTGGATATTTGAGAAATAAAAATAACTGATAAACTATAAACCATCATATAAACATATATAGGAAAATATATATTATTTATTCTGTGTATTCAAGCAGCAAATGTTCTTTATAACAAATATTAAAAATGACAGACATTTCAAATCAATTAATTTTAAGGATTACCTTTTCCAAATTACGAATAATCCTTCTCAGACAAGGGGGAAATTCCATCAAAAATCGTCTAAAGTTCATTTCATAAGGAAAACACAAAAAATATGGGCAAAGCTTTTGACTCAATTCATTATCATCAGCGTAGGTAGGGACAATTGTTAAGCTTCATGGAACATGGGTGTGTGAGAGATATAGGCGAAGTGAGGTATGACGTGTTTTTGTTTTCATATACATTTGAGGATGCAGGCTCTTAAGTTATAAGTGTTTTTATTTATTGATGGTTGTTTTGTAGTAGAAGTATTGCTTCAAAAAAATATATATATATATATATATATATATATATATATATATATATATATATATATATATATAAAAAGAATGGATTTTTATTTTTTTTTATTTTTATTTATTAATCCAACAGATTTCATCACTTTAAACTACGGACCTCCATTAAAATCACGATACCTAAGGTTTAAAATAATTTTAAAAAATGAAAACTTTCAAGCTTCTATTTTAGCTTTAATTGAAAACTCAAGGATTAAATCTATTTTCAGTAAGCAAAATACTCTGGTGTATTTCAAACAGAAATTATATTGATTGGAATCAGTTTTTTTTTTTTTTTCCTTTTTCAGTAAAATTTGTCCATTTTTTTTTTAGATATTTGTAAACACAAGTTAGTTGTTTTAAAAATCTTGAAAAAATAAAATATACTTGCCTAAAACATTATTTGAGAAATATTAGCAGATTTAAAGTATAATTAATCTGATTTGAAACAAATATTATTTACTTTAACTTTAAAATAACACAGAAATGCATTATTAAGCCAAGCAGTAGTTGTGTTTTTAACTGATAGTAGCAATGTTTAAATGTTTGATGAGTGATGAAAAGGTGATAACAGACTGATTGTTGTTCTACGGAGACTTTATCTGTAAAACATGATTTAAGAAAATGACATGAGCACCTATTTTTATAATTTTTTTTTTTTTTTATAAGTACTCAGTAATCGTAAAAAATTTTGAAAATATTCTCCATAATCTAATTTTAGGAATGTTGACTTTAAATTTACTATAGTAATTGCTATT